CAGAAGAGGGCTCTGATCAACCTTTTTAATTTGGGAGGTGTATAATTTAAATTTTTTGAAGTTTTTAAGTGTAATTAAAAAAAAAACCTAACACAAGATGGATTTTATCTAGATGGGGAGCCAATAATCCCTGTTTAAAAAGCGTAGTGGGAATATCAGCCTAATATGAATCTGTTCTGAGTTTGAATATGATTGCTAATAAAAATAAAACACAGTTGATACTATCAGTGCTTCCAAAATCAGCAACTACATCAGAACTGGTACTCTGAAGTTACTGTGCTGGGCTGACCTGAGTGTCAGTCTGTTCAAAACCTGAGCTTCTAGAAAATCATGAACTACGTGGACCTGGAAGTATTGCTCTGATGGGAAAGAATGAGTTTTGTGCAGATAGACTATACTTGAAGAACACAGCTTTCTGAGTGAATCAGAAATATGTCCATTATCAGATAATATTGAAAGTATAAGAACCAGATTTTAGGAGAAAATAGCATTTGCTTGCTTTAACTCCAAACAGAAATAGGAAGTATTGAGGAAATGCCCCTGAAAGCAGCTTTCATGATCCCTGTTTCTGGAGTGTGTCTGCCAAAATCATTTGTCTTCTGTGCTACTGAAAAAAAATACACATCCTTGCCCATTTCATTAGCTCATTACTGTGTCAAGCTTCAGGTAGAGTCTGAAACAGAAGTCATCATTAGAAAAGAGAGGGGAAAAGGCTTTCACCTGCTGTCCGAATTCTTTTGACTCCTCTGCAAGTCATTAGATGCTCCTTCTCCCTCCCTGTCTGCATTGTATTTGAACTCGCTCATCAACCCGCTTACTTAGCCTTGGTTCTGCTTCAGTCCAGAATGAGTAACTGGCAAGGTGGTAGGTACATCATTTCACCCCCAGTTTGCTGTGATGTTGTCTCTGTCCTGGACGTGAAACCTGATCCTTTCCATCAGCTGCTGGAGTGCTGCCTTGGCACTCTTTTATCTGCTTAACCCATAAACATCTCTTTCTGATTAGGTAACAAGTATCGGTGTTAGCTTCTAACTCCGATACTGTCTTAAGCATTCCTTATCAATAGCATCTTTCTTTCTGGAAGATGCTAGCTGCGTTTTGATTGACCAGTGGGGCTTTTTGGTAAGGTCGTCCAAGTGATTATTCTTTCATTAGGAGGCTGGGAGGGTGCTGCTGCTCTGAGAAGTTAATTTTCACAGTAGGTAACCTCATTTGCGTTGACCAGGTATGTGTGGGCTCTTGAGGCCTACATTTCTCCGTCTGGGGATCAGAAGTCCCCACTGTGCTCCATTTTCTAGCACAGAACCTATGACTTCCAGGCCAAACCGTTGACACAAAGTTGGCTATAGTTTCCCTCTAATCATAGAGAGATGACAGCTCAGGGAAAACTTTGGGTCAAACAGTGAATTTTAGGTTTCTAAGGACACAGATAGAGACAAGATGATAAAGGCAAGAGTTCCTGTACAGCTTGGCCTGAGGTTTCTCGAGAAGCCCTTTTCTCTGTCCTAGTATAGTTCTAAGAACTGGATGTATTTTCTCCCAGGACCTCAGCGGGCTTGGAAAGCAAGCTAACTAAAGGTAAGTGGGAATGGAAGATGTGCACCTGGAGCCCTCTAAAAAGAAAGCAGGCTAGGGAGACGACTGGCCTCTGGAGATGGCATGGAAAAGGCATAATGTGCAGGGCTGCGTGGGCAGCCAGCCATCCTTGTGTTCACCTGGAACAGCAGTCCGCGGTGATTTGGTCACGACCCCCGAGTCCTAGCCCCTAACCTTCTCTTCCCATGTATTCAGCTCCACCTACAAGGACTCCAACACCCTGCACCTCCCCACGGAGCGTTTCTCCCCCGTGCGCCGGTTCTCAGATGGGGCTGCAAGCATCCAGGCCTTCAAAGCTCACCTGGAAAAAATGGGCAACAACAGCAGCATCAAACAGTTGCAGCAGGTAATGGAAGAGACGGCAGGCACCTCTGGAGAAGCATGGGTAACAGACCAGTATTGCAGGAGGACTGGGTGTTAAACTTTCTATCCCTTTCATGTCAGCCGCACTGCAGTTTTATAGGTTCAAAACTGTGTAGTTTCTAACGCTCTTTGCTTGCTTCTTGTTATGTACAGCTTTCCCCAGGATCAAACTTGTTCACCCCATGAAGGGACTAAATTTTCCTCCTGTCTCTGTAGTTAATTAGAGAGGAATTTCTGGGCTTGGGTTTCAGTGGGAAGTACTAGGGAAAGTACTTCTAAGTAACCCAGACAGTCCTCTCGTGATTTATGGGTGGGTGTCATTGCAGCCTACTCTGCATTGTTAGCACTGGCATGCTCTCCAGTTGGTATGGAATGGCGCTCCCAGAGGAAGGAAGTATATACCTCTACGCTTCTCGAAGGGGCCGTTTTCCTTTTTGCCTTCCTGATGACTGAGCTTCAAGTGCCATGTTCTCTGTATACAGATTTTACACTGGATGCTTTCACTTGTACACAGACCATCCTTAGTGTTTTCCATTAGTTCATGCAGAATGGAATGTGAATATATATTTAGTACACAAATGCTTGGATAAATGGGTTAGTTGCTCACCAAGGACACTGTTCTTCTCTTGTGGCTCCTTCTGGCCATGAGACCTTGGGGCAGATCTGCATCTGCTGTCAGCACTGCACGGGGTGGGCCTGGCTGCATCCCATCTGTATTAACTGCTCTCCCTTCAGGAGTGTGAGCAGCTGCAGAAGATGTACGGGGGGCAGATTGATGAAAGAACCCTGGAGAAGACCCAGCAGCAGCATATGTTATACCAGCAGGAGCAGCACCATCAAATTCTCCAGCAACAAATTCAAGTAGGCCTTCACTCTTTGCTTTCTCCAGCTTGTTTGGAGTTTGCTTTCAGGCTGATTTGCCTATGAATTTTGGAGGAGATCATGCAAGGCAAAATGGAGTTGAGTTATGTTTATGGTTGACATGTTTGAGTAAAGGTAATCAAACTTTTCAATGAACAACAAAGCATAAGTCTCAGTGACAGAGAGTTCTTTCTGTTTCTTCCCTTCCTGAGAATAGCGCTGGTTAATCTTCAAGCTCACAATTATTTTTCTCCTTTCCCCCATGTGTTTTAGGATTCTATCTGTCCTCCTCAGCCTTCTCCACCTCTTCAGGCTGCATGTGAAAATCAGCCAGCCCTCCTCACCCACCAGCTCCAGAGGTAATAAATCATGTTGTTTCATGTCTGAGCCATTGTCTCTATAGCTTGGTGTCCTTGGCCTGACTCATATGGGCGATACCTCCTTAAAATCCTGACTTCCTGTGCCCCTTCATTTTCTTAGTCCCATGAATAAAGTAATCTGATCTAATACAAGAGGCCAGACACAGGCCCATAATGACCTCTGCCTCTTTGCCTGGGAAATCTGGTAAAATAACATGTGGGTAGGTTTTAAGTAGACTGTGGAGGGTAGTTTACGTACGCTTATCCAAACTAAGGAAATAATTCCTGCTTGTGTATATCATATGGCTGAAGCTAACTTCAAGGTTATTCTGTCACCTCGGGAAATTTATTTATCTGGTTTTGTTGTTTTTTAAGGTTAAGGATTCAGCCTTCAAGCCCACCCCCCAACCACCCCAACAATCATCTCTTCAGACAACCCAGTAATAGTCCTCCCCCCATGAGCAGTGCCATGATCCAGTCTCACGGTGAGTAGGAAGGTTTAGACTGAACCATAGGATGGGTGGTATGCCACATGGAAAAAACAAGTCTCAATCTTGAAGGCCACAGCAATTGATTTGAATGGCAGAATAGCATAGTATTTAAAGGTGTGGGCTCTCGAGGCAGACTGCCTTGGTTTGAATCCTGTGTCCACCAACTCTAGCTATGAAACCACAGGTAAGTTACTTAACTTCAGTGTACCTCAAATGTAAAATTTCTCAAATGTAAAATAGGGATAGTAATGATATTTAATGAATAAATATTTGCACTTGGAACAGCCTCTGGCACAAAATGATTCTCAGTAAAGGTTAACTATTATTAATATTTTAAATAAAACCCCCGCCAACTCTACCAAAGAAAAAGCTGCCACCAGAACCTGCCTTACTGTCATGCCTCCATTTGGTTACCCATTGTACATGTGGCTCCTCTCCTGTGGGCATTTAGATGGAGGTGAAGGTGAGTATTCCCTAATTGGTGTGGGCCTTTAGAGACCAGCACTATGAGGATTTAGTATTTCAAAAACTGGTAATCTCTTAAGTAATAATACCACACAGTCTAGATGCCCTGAGGAGTCTAAATTGGTTTCTATATCCTGCCTAGTCAAAGTGGGGTCCCTGACCAACAACATCGGCAGGAAAATTAGAACCTCAGGTCCCATCCCAGATCATCTAGATCAGAATCTGCATTTTAGCAATATCCCCAGGCCATTTGTATGCACATTGGAGTTTGAAGAGCATTGCCCTACATCAGAGCTACTCACAGAATAATCCATGGACCAGCATTCAGGGCAACTTATTAGAAATACAAGTCCTTGGAGCTCCACCCAGACCTACTGAAGCAGAATTCTGTGGGTAGGGTCCAGGAATCTGTGTTTTAACAAGTCCTCCAGATGAGCTAAAGTTGAGACGCACTGCCCTAGATGGTATCTGGCTTGAGTGTCCTCGTTGGCACCCATTACTTCCAGCTGGCAGGTAACCTGGGCATTTGGTCACTGTCCTGTTCCTTTCTCTCCAGGTGCTGCATCTCCACCCCAGTTTCAAGGCCTACCCTCCCGCAGTGCAATCTTCCAGCAGCAGCCTGAGAACTGTTCTCCTCCTCCCAGTGTGGCACTAACCTGCTTGGGTATACAGCAGCCTACCCAGTCCCAGCAGGTGACCATCCAAGTCCAGGAGCCTGTTGACATGCTCAGCAGCATGCCGGGGACAGCTCCAGGCTCTGCCGGGCGGGGCCTTTCCATCAGCCCCAGTGCCAGTCAGATTCAGATGCAGCACCGTGCCAACCTGATGGCCTCCTTCAGCTATGGGCACCGGCCCTTGTCCAAGCAGCTAAGTGCTGACAGTGCAGAGGCCCACAGGTAAGGCCGCCTAAGTCACCCATCCATCCATCCAGGTGATCCAGGTGGGAGGAAGCCCCTTAGCAGGGCCAGAGAGGAGGCGGGAAGGAGAATGAGTATGACTGGGCTATGATCGTTTCACCCTTTCTAAAATCAGGGTAGTGGGTTTGGGGTGAACTTGAAACCTACTTATTGACCCAGGATCAAAATGCTAATGAGACGGGAGGAAACTGACACAGCTCTCGTACTATTTGTCCACAAAGAAGGAAATGGCCTATTAGAGAGCTGGTAAAATGCCAGTTCCCCTTGTCTATTCCTTGAGGATTCTTTCCCTCTCTGTCACTCATATTCTAAGAGATTGGTGCTTCTTAGTAGCTCAAGTGATGCAAAATAGGCCAAGTTGCTACCTTCAACCTAGAGCTGGGTCTGTTACATACAGTGCCCTAAATCCCTTGGACATCACTGGACAAGCGAATGTGTGGATGAGCTGGGATGATGCATACATTCATCCCATCTCTCCTGTCACACCATAGCTCTCTGTATCAGTGGGGCTCCCTACTGAGAAAGAGTAGTAGCTATTTCCCAGGGGAGTAAAGTACACTTGTTACATGGATGCCTGGTACTCACTCCCTTTTGTGTCTGCAGCTTGAACGTGAATCGGTTCTCCCCTGCTAACTACGACCAGGCGCATTTACACCCCCATCTATTTTCGGACCAGTCCCGGGGTTCCCCCAGCAGCTACAGCCCTTCAACAGGAGTGGGGTTCCCGCCAACCCAAGCTCTGAAAGTCCCTCCACTTGACCAATTTCCCACCTTCCCTCCCAATGCACATCAGCAGCCCTCTCACTATACCACATCAGCACTACAGCAGGCCCTGCTGTCCCCCACACCGCCAGACTATACAAGACACCAGCAGGTACCCCACATCCTTCAAGGACTGCTCTCTCCCCGACATTCGCTCACCGGCCACTCGGACATTCGGCTGCCCCCAGCAGAGTTTGCACAGCTCATTAAAAGGCAGCAGCAGCAGCAGCAGCGACAGCAACAGCAGCAGCAGCAGCAGCAAGAGTACCAAGAATTGTTCAGGCATATGAACCAGGGGGATGCTGGGAGTCTGGCTCCCAATATTGGGGGACAGAGTATGACAGAGCACCAGGCTTTACCATATCAAAATGCTGACTCATATCACCACCATACCAGCCCCCAGCATCTTCTACAAATCAGGGCGCAAGAATGTATCTCCCAGGTTTCCTCACCCAGCCCAACCCACGGTTATGCTCACCAGCCGGCACTCATGCACTCAGAGAGCATGGAAGAGGAGTGCTCATGCGAGGGGGCCAAGGATGGCTTTCCAGACAGGAAGAGTTCAAACACATCGACCAAGAGTTGCCATGACAGCCCCCTGCTCTTGAGTACTGGCGGACCCGGGGACCCTGAATCTTTACTAGGAACTGTGAGTCACGCACAGGAATTGGGGATACATCCATACCGACATCAGCCAACTGCTACATTCAGTAGAAATAAGGTGTCCAGCCGAGGTAAGAGTCCCTTCAAAGTAACAGTCCTGGGCCGATCTGCCCCAATTCAATTAACTTAGTAATGTTATCTTTTTTCAGCTAGTACTCTGTGTTCCTCAGAGAAAAAGAATTCCTGAGAAGACCTTCAGGACCTTTTGAGGGAGAAGCATGTAGGAAGTGGGTATTGGTGGGTAAGGGGTTTGTTTTCAAAATTAAAAGGTAATGATAGAAAATTAACAGATAGTACAGTCAGTAAGATACATTATTTATTTCTCATATTCATACCATGGTTTCTTGGAATCCAGAATTTCTTGACTGCCATCAAAATAGCTAACGTTAACTTCTGCAATACAAGAGAGTCAGCCACCAGTGCTAAGGAAATCACGATTTAGTATAAATAGCATTGGACCAAAAGTCAAAGCACCTCAGTTCTGGACTTGACTCTATCATGAGTGCGATAACCTTGTCACTTAAACCCTCAGGTTCTTATTTTCCTCATGTGTGAAAAAAGGGCACGAGGAGTAATGGTGCTTTACAGAGTAGCTGGGAAGATGAAGACATGCCTATCTGTGTTTGTGTTATGCATAATGTATGTGTGTGAGAGAGCATGGAAGAGAAAGAAGCATTTGATGATCCAAAAGTATGATCTAAATGTGTTGTTATTATTTTGATCATTTCATTAATAAACTAAATACAGACTAGTACAGCATCATAAGAGGGGCCCCATGTCATTTAATTTTGTCTCACTTTTTAATTAATGTGTACATTCATTTTCATTCTGAGGGAGATTAGGATTTCCATCTGTGAGTTATACTCAGGAAATGTTGTTCCATTAGCATCATAGCATTCATTTTAGACAAAATCTGGACTGATATCTATCCCCATAGATCATGAAAAATGAGTTTACCTATAAAATATACAACCTTGAAACTGAGCATTTCTTCCATTTTTTCCTTCTTGGAGCTACCTGCATCTCCTGCTGTTTTTTAAGCTCAACACACAAAACTCACTCCTAGGGGAATTAGGTCCCATGGCACAGAGCAGGATAGAAGACCTTGCTCTAAATTAATTTATGTGACGAAGTCTTGGTGCCTTCAGGTTGTGCTCATTATGCACTGATGGGGGGGACATATGGTTGCATAAAACACCAGTTAAATCCTGGGCTTTTGAACAGTTGGGTGCTGTCCAGCTTAGAGGTCTACCAGTCAGGTGTGTTGTGTCCACCTGTAGCTGCTTTATTTTCAGGATGGTGGGAAGTTTCAGAACCAGGTCATGTGGAATGGCTGACAGACCTGGGGATGTTTAGGATTGGGGGTAGGGAACTAAGGAAAACGACCATACCTGCCAGGTGGAAGCAGGGATTCGGCTTTTCTGGGTTTATATTGTGGGGCAGAACCAATTATTTCTCAGGAGGGAAATTGCAGCAAATTTCCACTCCCTATGGAAGACTTTTATAAGAACTTTCCAGAATAGGTCGCCTTAGCAGCCTGAGAGCTTCCTGTCACTAGGAGTATTCTAGTAGACTCGGAATGATGAATGTGCAAAAGCTTGCTGTGTGAATGAAAGCTTTCACAAGATTAGCATACTGAAAGCTAACTTTTCTATAGTGTTTTCCATGTGCCAGATACCAAATGCTATTCATATGTAAATTTATTTAATCCTTTTAACAACCATATATGGTATTGTAGTAGCTCTTATTATTTCCCCTATTTTATCAATGAGACAGCCGAGGCACAGGTTAAGTAATTTGCCCCGAAGGTCACCTGCTAGTAAGTGGCACCTGAACCAAAGAGTTATTCAATTCACTCTGGCAGATGCTTACTGAGCCTGTCTTCGGTGTGCAAAGCACCGAGAAAAGAGCAGAGCTAGAGCAAATGATATCCCACCTCCCTGGATTGCCATGTATTAAAGCACCTTTTGAGATGTTTTTGTTCAAAAATTATTCTGATTTCACTTTCTTTCCTGTGTGACTCCTCTGTACCAAAAGGCTGGAGGGCTTGAATTCACCAGTGTCTCATCATTGTCAGAGGAACCCACCTTTCGGCAGGCTTGCTGATATATTTAGTACCTACAGTACGGCAGAAGATGTTTGATACAAGTGTGGGAGCACCAGAGGAGGGAGAGATTAGTTCTCGATTAGAGGAATGGGGTAGGTGTTCAGCAATAAGTGGCATTTGACCTGTGTTTAATAGATGAGGATTTTCCCATTTGGATTTAGGGGAGAACCATGAGGAAAGCTCACTGGAATGGAGTGTACATGGAGGAATTAGGAGAAGTTAAGGGCAGAGGTTTTCTAAAACCAGAGTATGGTCTAGATCCAGCTGCGATGTGCCAGGAGAATAGTGGCACACTGCTCAATTCTTCTGTCAGTTTTAAATCAATACACAATCCTGCCAGTCATTCATACCCCTTCTTTTTAAATATCTAAGGCCTTCACTTCAGGCCCAAACTTCATTTCATGATTATTTTGACAAATCTTTCCTACTTCTTCCTTTAGCTGAGTTACTGTCATTACCTCACTCCTCTCTCTCTTCTTCCTACCTTCTTACATCTCACGCCATCATCACTGTCATTTATCCCTACAAACATCTCTTCTGTTTTCTGGAAGAATCAAGCACTAAGTGTATATTCTTAAGAGTTTTAGCTCAAAACTCCTCTGTCCTCATTGCCTCATTATCAGTTTTGCAGGTATCTTCCCCTCAAAGTCTTCTCTTTTTCTTAAATTTTTTTTCCTGATTTTCGGTATGAACTTTTCTAGAAGCTGTATTCTTAGCTCCTGCCCTCCTTGCCAATGTATTGTAAGAGATTATTCTTTCTTCTTTCTACCCAGTGTACTCTAAACTTTCTATTTAACTTAGCTACAGTATATGCCTATTCTTGCTTGAATACTATTCACCTTACCTCTTTCTAACATCTACTCCTGTTTTGTGACTTTTGGAACCGCATACACAATTATTTTTATTGAGAAACCACAACTTTATTACTATGTGTGTTTAGAATCCAGTATCGCAAAATAATGCAATAGAGAAACTAATGGTCTAAGGAAGCCCTCTGCTGCTCAAGAGTTAAAATCCCTCCAGGGATGTAGGGATGTAGGTGTTTAAAACAATTTCTTTTTTTTTTAAGATTTTTTATTGGGGAATTGGGGGAGGGGAACAGTGTTGGGGAATTGGGAAAGGGGACAGCCAAGTTGCTGTCCTTCAATCTTAGTTGTGGAGGGCGCAGCTAGCTCAGCTTCAAGTCCAGTCGCCATCCAGCTGCCCGTCAGTAGCTTGCAGCCGCTCAGCTCAAGGTGTCGTGTTCAGTCTTAGTTGCGGGTGGGCGTAGCCCACCATCCCATGCAGGAGTCAAACCAGCAACCTTGTTGTTAGGAGCATGTGCTGTCACCAGCTGAGCCATCCTGCCACCTGTTGGCAGCTCAGGGGCAGTTCAGTTCGGGCACAGCTCTCTGGCCCATGTGGGAATCGAACCTGCCACCCTGTTGCTCAGAGCTCGGGCTCCTAACCAACTGAGCCACTCGGCCAGACCGAAAACAATTTTTTATCCTGGGGCACCCCTACTGTCCTTACCTTAACTCTCCATCAGGCGCAACTGATCTCATAGATTCATTGCACACAAATGTTCAAATATGAAATACGTCTTTACTGTACTAAGTCACAAACACGACTGGTGATAGGTTACGGTAGGGGGGAAGATATGGAAGCAATGAGTCACGATACTTAACTGTTAGATGTTTGAAAATTTGTGTGCAATGAATCTGTGAGATCAGTTGCGCCCAATGGAGGGTTAAACAACGTGAGCTTACTTTGTGACATGAGCTTACTCTGTGACCATGGGCCTGGCATGTAACCTCCTCCCTTCATCTGTGTAATTAGGGATGTTAAGCTCAATGCCCCCTATGAGAAGGAGAATGCAATTAATGTTTGTAGCAAATCTGCTCCATGCGTGGTGCTTTCAACTCAGTTACTCATTTGTTTTCACATCTACCCTGGGATGTATATGTTATGATCCCTTTTACAGTAGAAACTGAGGCTTCACAATCTCCCTGCTTCAACATAACATGATTCTCTCAATTCTTTTAAAAACTTGAGAGCTCACAGGTTTACATTACCAAAGAATCCTCAGGTAATTTGCTGTCACTTTTGCCAAGAAAAGGTTATAATGCTTTACTCCCACCACCTTGCAGGCAAATGGGGAAGCTCACACTTGTTTATCTCTTTGGACAGGGAGGATGTCTGCTGTTCACTTTAATGATACCTCCACCTTTGTGTAGTTACACATAATCTCAGAACACTTCCATGATAGAGCAAATTCAACAAAGTGTATTGAATGAGTAGGTTGCACAGACTGTATTGTAGGGATGAACAGCTAGAGAACCTGCCCTCAGGAGACTTTATACACCCCTTCCTTCCCAAGGGGGAAGGAAGACAAGGTCATCAACAGCCTTGACATGAAGTGTTGCCTAATGAATGCTGTAAGAAGTGTACAGTCATGTGCCACATAACGACGATTCGGTCAGTGATGGACCGCATATATGATGGCGGTCCATAAGGTTATAAAGGAGCTAAAAAATACCTATCGCCTAGTGACAGCACAATGCATTGCAATTGCCAACAGTACTCAGTACAGTAACATGCTGTACAGGTTTGTAGACTAGGAGCAACAGGCTATGCCATAAGCCTAAGTGTGGAGTAGGCTGTATCATCTAGGTGTGTGTAAGTGCACTCTGAAGTTTGCACAACCAAATCGCCTAACGATGCATTTCTCAGAATGTATCTCTGTTGCTAGGCAACATATAACTATGATTATAAAGAGGAGAGCTAGTGTGATCTGTCTAAAATTTCTTAAGGGTAGGTGAACAGGGATCACTGGTGTTAGTCAAGTAAAATTAAATGCCACCATATCAATGTTTGTGGTTATCTATTTCCTTTATGGCTGTTAGCTACCAATCATTATGGAACCAGGACTTCCCAGGGCACTGAGCAGGCAGCATGCTAAAGGTTTGCTTGAGATGTGTATAAGTTTCAGGGCTATACATACCCTCTGCTGCCTATAATATCCCTATCTGCCATTGTAGAAGTGGAAATAAAGTTTATCTTCCTTCTGTAGTATTCCATATACTTGACTTTTTTTTATATTTTACTTTGCAAATAATTAAGTACAACAGCGTAACCAGTTTACACAGTGAGATGACCAACTTGAACTTGTAAACAAAAACCATATCCTCTTCTCTGAGGGTAGTCAGCTTCTGCAGTGTTATGGACTCCACGCCTCAGAGAGGGTAAAATGACTAACTGGAGGGATTACCCCCTCAGAACCTATATGAAGAATATGCACACGTCATTTCTCTCATTTTTTTCTTAAAACCAGTAAATGAGTAAGGATGAGTCAACATTGACAGATTCAATAGACAGTTATGCAAGCTGCCCCAGAGTTCTCTGGGCAGGTGGGTGGTGTGCCTTGTGTCCGTTTGTGTATTTTTTCTCTTGCATGAGCACAGAGAGAGATCTGTGCTCTCTCAGCTTTACTGTGGTAAATACCTGAGAATGCTGCTCTCAGAAGTCCTCTTCCCCCATTAGTTATATATCCTTTGGTGAGCTTAGGTTCCTGTAGTTGCTGAATTCACATTATAGGATGCCAAAGATTCGAACCTGAATTTTATGTCCTTTGGTCAGTGGGTTACTCTGTGTACACCTCTCCCCATCCCCGACTAGTCAGTAGGTCTCATCTTAAAATGTCACAAAGTACTTCTAGACTCAGAACTCAACGTTCTTACTAAACATCATACTTTACTTGTGTAGTCCTTTATAATTTATTAAAGACCCTTTCACATGTGTTTGCTTTTGAGCCCCCAAACACCTGTCATTTTTAAGAGAGAGAACCCAGGGTTAAGAGAGATTAAATGGCTTACCCAATTTCATACATTTACATTGGCTTTGGAACTGGATCCTGACTTCAAGTTTCCTGGTTTGCTAGTCTAATAGCCTTTCCTTTATGTCTTCTCTCCTCCCATTCTACACCTTCCAAGCATACCTGCCACGCAAAAGATGCCAGCCCTTCCACATCTTTGACCTATGGATTATATTGACACTTGAGCAGACAGAGCCCTGGTTTGTTACCCAACTTCTTTTTCATATAGTTTTTAACTTACATTTATCTCTCTTAAATCAGAGGCTTCTTCTCTGGAAATTAAAGTTTCATTAACTCATTTGTTCATTCATATACGGGCACATTGTCCCCATAATTCTGGAAGCCATAGGGTTCTGTGATAAGATCAGTATTTTTGTTTGTTTTTGTCAACTGTCTCCATATGCCCTTATCCCCTCAGAAAGAACATCTCTGAAATGAGTTTGAGTAATACCAGTCTCCTGAGCGCTTACAGTGTTCCAAGCTCTAGTAAGCACTTGACATACCAGCTGAGTAAGTCATGTTTTACAGATAAAGAAACTGAGACCCAGGGGAGTCAGGTAACTTGCCCAAGATGGCACTCCTCAAGAATCCTCAGGATTCCACCTCAGGTCTTCCTGACCCCAGAGCTTGTGCTCATGAGCCCCAGGCTGGGGGATCAGGAAGGCTCATCGTGTGATTTGTCAAGCATTAGCTTGCTCTGTTTTGGTGGTACTTTCAGGTATGTTGGCACCAGACCTGAAGGATAGGAAGAAAGCAGACAAGAAGGACAGCATCCATGTGACCTTCCCAAAGGCCAGGACCAAAAGGAGGATGGGTGTTTGGGTTTGGAGGAACCCCATCTTCAGGAATAAAAATAAATTCAAAAAGAGAGAGACAGGGAGAGAGGAGACTTAGCATACATATCAAACAAACAGACAAACACATTAAGGCCTCTAGAAGAGGTGGGAAGGAACTAAATGTCAAGAACTAGGACTTACACATTTGGTTAGCTTTGCCATTACCTCATGTTTGATAATGATTCTTTAAAAATCTTTAAACAAGAGAGCTCTCGTGTTTGTCTTTGGGAGTACAAGAAGGTACAAATGATGAGATTTGCATCCAATTCTATAATCCAGAAAAAAAAAAAAACACCTCAAAGAGTTGAATGGACAGTGCTAGCTCTGAAAGAAGAGAATATAGGTATTAGAAAATGTTTTGAAAAAGTAAGAAGCAGCTATTCATGTTGCTTCTTGGCAAAACACCAGAGAGCCAATTCCTCGCTCCACAAAGCTGTTGTTGCACCACTTCCTGCCAGTGGTTTTTGTTTGGCCCTGGGGCCAGCACGTAAGCTGTGCCCACTGAGAGGAATTGGGCTGAGTGGCTACGATGTGTGAGCTAGACAGAGCAGGTCCTAGTGTGGGCTTTATTTTATCTTCCTCTCTTTGCTGGCTTTTAGCTTTCAGTAGCAAAAGAGTTGACTTCTGGCTGTTCCTTTTACCTCTGCTCAGAGAACTTTCAAAAGATTTCTCACTTGCTTTCATCTTTGGTAGTTGGGAACCTCCCTCCCCCTGCCGCACCTCTCATTTTTCTCTGGAATGTTTTGCATTACCAGCAATGTGCATGTCAGATAGCTCCCCTTCCTTCCCGTTCTACTCGAGCCCCAAGCCCAGGCCTAACCTTCACTGTTACAGGAGACCATAGAGACCCTTTAACTATCAGTCAACCAGTATGCTTTCCTTGCATTGTTCAAATAGCTACTGGAATGATACAGTTAGTATTAGGGCTGTGTTTCCTATTAAACACCTCTTAAAAACCTGGTTTTGCCAGGGTACAGTTCATCAGGAAATAGGCCCAATAGTACCCAAGGAGCTTTAACCCCAAAACAACCAACCAAGCAAACAAAATACAGAGGGTGCCAATAAAATGTATACACATTTTAAGAAAGGAAAAAACTATTAAAATTGTAATATTCAATATATACTGATAACAAAAGATGAATGCAAGTGACGTTTGACTCCTGCAATTACTACTGCTTGAGCAACGTTGACCGAAGTGTCCACTTGTATACATTTTTTTGGCACCCCCAGTATAGGTTCAAGTGCCAGGCTTTTAAGGACTGGGGCCAAAATTGCAACCAGCGGAATCCTATCAACTTCGGTGTGGCCCTGGTATTCTTTTTTTTAAGACTTTATTGGGGAATTAGGGGAGGGGAACAGCATTGGGGAATCGGGGAAGGGGAACAGACAAGTTGCTGTTCTTTTGTTCTTCTAGTTGTGGAGGACGTTGCTTCACTGGCCCATGTTGGTATTATCATTGTGCTTTTCCCGGGTGAGATGGTTGCTCACCGGCCATTGGATGGCTGCTCGTGGCAGCTCACAAAAACTCACGCCAGCTGCCAGCCAGCCCCACTGCAGCCTATGCCATCGCTGGCAACTCACAGCAGCCCAGCTCCAGGTCGAACTTGTTGTTCACCATCTTAGCTGTAGAGGGCACAGTGTCACTGGCCCTCATGTGGGATCCGAACCAGGGCCCTGCTGCTCAGAGCTGGTGTCCCAAGCCAACTCTTAACCAACACACCACTTGGCCGGCCCCCTGGTAGTATTCTTGATCATCCTTGGTCAAAAAGAAATATTTATTCTTCTTGAACTCCTCTTTCTTTCCAAAATCCAGTTGATAAGGCTGAATGACTCTGACAGGGTATTAACCTATATTAAGAGACCATTTATTAATATCAGTTAAAGAGATAATAATTAAATACTTACTGGGTATAGGATGAACACTAAAGGCTCACAAACATGCATAAGATATAATTCTTGTCCTCAAAGAATTTATAGCCTAATATGAATTGAATGTGGTGCCAGGAATAATGTTAGAGTAATCAGAGTTCATTAAAGTCTTCTGACACTTAAAGGAAGGAAGATCTATTTCTATTTGAAAGGGACAGTTTCATGAAGATTATAACATTTGAGATGGACCTAGACATCTAGATGAGTTGATTTGGATTGGCAGGAATGGAAAGAGAAGAACCAAGCATTTCCAGCAAAAGGGAACAAGGAGAACAAATGCATAGAATTGTGAATGGGTAGGGAAGAGTTAAGTGGTACCATTTGACTAGAGCTTAGAATGTAAGGGAGAGTAGTGTGAGGTATTTATGGGGAAGATAGTCTTAGGGTGATTTGGAACCAGGAGTAAGGGGACCCAGTGAACTCACACCCAGATTAGGAAAATAGGCACCAAAACAAGGATCTCTGAAAGAGGAGCTGGTTGCGAGGAAAGTTGATGAGCTTGGAATTAGACATATGAGTGTTAGACGTTTATTAGATATCTAGAGAAGGATACCTAGTCAATAGTTGGCGTTATAGATCTGGAGCTTAAAAGAGCATTTTAGTAGTTCTTTATATAGAGGCAATATACTTGAAGCCGTGAAAATAGGTGATTTTGCCAAAGTAAGTGTTGGGGGAGAGAGGTCAAGGGTAGAAATGTAGAGCGTGGAGGAGCTATGGAAGGAGTTGAGAGCAGCAGTTTGAGAAGCAGAGGAGAGGACTGGGGGGTTCCCTGAGGTAGAAGCCCAGGAAGGAGAGAGAAGGCATCCACAGAATGGAGGCCATCCTCCCAGGCTGGAGGTTCCTGAAAGCTCCAAGAATGTCCTTATGTGCATCTAGGTTTGGGAACACAGCACTGTCAAGTCAACAGAAAAATGAAGAAAAAAGGTCCAGTGGGATCTAGCCCACCGCTAGCCAATATATGGGATTTTTCTCCTAAGGGTATGATCCCTCCATAAAGGGGCTCACGTTTGCTGTAGGACTTAGGGATGGCAGACTGGTCCCAGCTCCACTAAGCACATCGCCATTGACTGAGGATTAGTATTTTAGGTAGTGCACATGTGGTCCTCGCCATTCATTGCTCATTGTCCCTTGCAAGACATTTGCTTGATAGGCATGGACAATGTTAGGGGAAACTCTAGGTCTGTTGACCTTATTTTGCTCTGTCTCCTCAGAGTCTGTCATAGGAAACTGCATGGATAGAAGTTCTCCAGGACAAGCAATGGAGCTGCCAGATCACAATGGACTTGGATACCCAGCACGCCCCTCAGTCAATGAGCACCACAGGCCCCGGACCCTCCAGAGACACCACACGATCCAGAACAGTGACGATGCTTACGTATGTCGGTCCCATCCTGCTTCTCAAAAGTGGGATCCTACCAGGCCTGACCTTGAAACCAGACCTTAGTAATGTGGGGTAACGAACATCCACTCCTCCAGTCTTCTCAACCAGAGTCCAGCACTTCTGTAAACTAAGGGAGCATGCCTTTGAATCACCCTAACAGACCAGCCCAACTCCAGTAGAATCTCAGAATCTATATTCCAAATTTTAGACTGAGGAATCGAGAGTAGCTGCCGTTGGTTCCCGCTAGTCTTCGTTATTGAACTTCTCCCCAGTCTAAACTCAAGCCCCAGCAAATGAACCTGGAGGCTCTTGGGTAGTTTTCTGGCAGCTACATTGAACTTACTCAGATAAAGGGAGCTAACCTGGCTCAGCAAGACTTCGTTTTCCAAGGGCAGACTCTGGGCAGCACTGTCTAATACAGTAGCAACTAGCACATGTAACTATTCAAATTTAAATGTAATTAAGACAAAATTAAATTAAAAATTGGTTTCCTCAGTCACACTAGTCACATTTCAAGTGCTCAGATCGCCTCTTGTGGCCAATGGCTCCATAATGACTGGGCAGTAGGACATTCCATCCTCACAGAGAGTTCTGCTGGGCTCTGCTACCCTAGACAGACTCCTCATGCTGACAGGGAGAGGTCAGAAACCTGGTCGGGGAAGGCCGTGTAGGTGTCAAGGGCATCTGTCCGCCAGCAGAAAGATTCAGCTTGCCCTCCCCCACTCCACCCGCTCCTGGGGGGAGAGCCCAGGAGCTGCGGCAGCTTCCCACTGTCGCTGTGGCAGCTTCCCCCTTTGGGTGGCACTGCAGGGTAGGGAGTCTGCATGGTATGGCTTGGGAGTGGTCCCTGAGGCTGCCCCTTGCCTGGGCCCTTCTAGAGGGAACAGCTGTCTCTAAGGGTCACCCATGAGTGGCATTCTCTCTGGTATCCTTACTTCTTTTCCGAATCATTTTCCACAGGTGCAGCTGGATAACTTGTCAGGAATGAGTCTGGTGGCTGGGAAAGCACTTAGTTCTGCCCGGATGTCAGATGCAGTTCTCAGTCAGTCCTCGCTTATGGGGAGCCAGCAGTTTCAGGATGGAGAAAATGAAGGTCAGGGGCCTTACACATGGGGCACCCCAGAAAACTTCCTGTAGACCCCCCTTCCATCTTTATTAGTGACTGCTGCCCTTTTCTGTATAAAGAGTTCATGGGGCACCACAGTATCACCAAGGGGTTCTGGACACAAAACCCTTCCCCACTCTCTTCCTTCCAGTGTGAGTGCTTAAAGGAGCATGTCTTCTGGTTGAGTACAGGGGTGTCACATTTCTGTTTGTAATGCTCTGTTAAGATACTCGTTTAATAACTATTTCTCTTGTTCTGATTAGAGGGCACTGTGTCCAAAGGAATATGTCTACCTCTCCTTAGAACTAGTAAAGGGAAGGTATCATAATGGATATAAAGCACAGGCCTTGGAATGGACAGGTCTGCAGGAAATCCTGACGCTGCCCTTTACAGGCTGCATGGGCAAGGCGCTTAGCCTTTCTGAGCTCCAGCGTCCCTCTCCGTAAGTGGCAGAAACAGTAGAGCCTAATCCTAGATTGTGCTGTGAGCAGCAACTGGCCTAGTGAGTTTAAAGTGCTTAGAACAACGCCTAGATCACAGAGTGCCCAGTAATCAGTGTATCCAAGCAGTAAAACTGTGTTCTCCCTTAAACAGGGAAGTCTTCCTGAAGGAGCAGTGTTCTGGCTTCTCCCACTCCATAGTTGTTGATAGGGCTTGTGTTGGGAGACAGTAAAGGAAAGGGAATAACAGAACACTTAAGAGACCACAGGAAGAATCCTGGCCCGCAGTCACTAAACACCGTGAGGGCCTGCTGTGAGCTAGAATTCAGGGCTGGGAGTCAGGCCCCCAGGTGCTCAGACTTCAATTCCTCCTCTGTCCCTCTTGCGCCGCCTCACCCCCACCCCCCTACCCCCCAGTTCCCTGCAAATCTCACATGGTCTTTCTGGTCTTATAGGATGCGGAGAGAGCCTAAGAGGTCATGAGCACCCAGACCTGACTGATGGCAGCCAGCATTTGAATTCCTCTTGTTACCCATCAACGTGTATTACAGACATACTGCTCAGCTACAAGCACCCTGAGGTCTCCTTCAGCATGGAACAGGCAGGCGTGTAACAGAAACTGAGAGTGAGTATCACCGTCAAGTCAGGGCCGAACCAGGAGAATCCTTCCACGTGAACTGGGCAACGCCACTCTTCCCCTCAGGTCTTCGCATCTTGCTGCTCTATCATTAAGCGCTGCGCTAGCTGTTTGGGGGTGTGGGTAGGGGCATACAGAAGAAATGCTGGCTGTTGCCCCTTGGTTTAATTATAGGGGATCAGACACAGAGACAGTGAGCTCCAGCTTCAGAGGAAGGGGCCCGGCACTCTGGTCAGGATAATGAGGAAAGGAGGTGGTCCTTGAACTCAGTCCTGTAGGATGAAGCCCGGCAGGAAAACACGTCCAGCCATATTTTCAAGGCTGTGCTGCAAGTAGCGGAATATTCTAGACAGAGGAACTAGGTAGGTGATCAGAGGCCAGTGGTAGGAAACCAGTAAATTGGCCAGTTTGGCTGGAGTAATACCTAAATGAACATAGTAGGTAGTGTTAGTTCTGTGAAAACACTGACAAAAGACTTGAAAGTTAAGCTGTCTGGCAAATCCATATTAAATCCTCAATATGCCAGGCCTGTTAAAAACCTGGGGTAAAATGAACCAGTCTGTTTTTCACTGGTCTCCGCCTATTAATAACCAGTGTTGTGTCTGGAGCAGTCCTTGTGGTTGATACCCTTAAGTAATAACCGTCAGGAAACTGAAAAGATGCAGGTTTACTACTTAGAAGACCTGGAAATGACACAGCACACCTGGGGCCACACAGCGAGATCTCAGGTAGAGAGAGAGAGAAAGACCCAACGTGCACGCACAGGCCTGGGGCTCTGCTTTTAATGGTGCTAAGAGAGGGATCTGGGCCTTTGCAGGCTCACTCTGTATTGGTGAATTTAAAACATTCACAAGTAGGAATTTAAAGCTCAGGAAGAGAAGACAAACAAGTAGCCCAAATGGTCAGTTATTGAAATCAACCGCGATCTTCCCTAAAACAAAGGAGGCTCAGTGGGGGGAGGGGTCCTGGCTCCTTGTCCTTATCAGGGTGGCTGCCAGTGTGTTTATTCAGGATGGTCTTTGAAGTAGATGCCTCAGCAACCAAAGCTTAAGGCAGGCACTTGCATTACAAAAAGAAAAAAGAAATCAGGGTTTACACTACACAGTTGCATTTTTTTTAAAGTTTTCAATTGAATATATGAGTCTTTCTCTTTTCAAACTAATTCTCTGTGTCTGCTCTGTTGCAGGTTTGTGTGCGGTTCGGGAGTGAAAAGGTTGACTTTAAACCAACAGTATCTGGCAGCATTGCGCCAAATTGCCATTGTGTTTCCACCCAAAACGTCGTGGCTCCTTTCGTCACTTTTGGTTCATCAGTGTGCTGTTCTTTTGGGTTCTGAGGGCATTTTGCCATGTTTGCTTGTTTGACCAAATCACCAAGGAAATAAACAGGAAATCCACATTCGCCACCTTTTGTAAAAGTGTATTTGGTAAATTTCAGTTGGTGGTTTGGTTTGGTTTTGGTTTTTGTGGGGTTTTTGTTTTGTTTTGGGGTGTTTTTGGTATTCTTTGGGAGGTGTTTTGTTTTGTTTTTACTTTGCGCCTCTCTCTCTCTGTCTCTCTCCTTTCCTTTTTTGAGGCAGAAGAGCAAAGCAGTTAGAGTACGAGGCCAGGGAGACAGAGCCACTCCCTTCCCCAGCCTCCATCCACAGTGCACCCTCCAGTCCTCTGCACTGCTCCTCCACAGAAGCAAAACTGAAGGATAACATCCTCTGAAATTTTAGTTGCTGGGGAAAGAGAGGGGAAGGGGTGATGGCCATTGGCACTTGGAGAGCAAAAGAAGCCCCAAGCTTGGAACCTGGGGACGTCTTTACTGCTGGGATCCACTGAAAAACATGTCTGGTCCAGCCAAGATCATACGAGAATGCTAGCGTGGCGACTGAGCGTGACCTGATGTTGATGGGGTGTCGGTTAGAATGTCTCAGTGTGAGCCTTTTCTTTGGTGTATAACTCAGTTCCCCTCTTGTAACCCGGAAAGTTGGTTGCCTTTACCATCCTGCTGGTTCTCCCCATGGACTGAACACCCAACAGTGGTACACTATGCTTTTTTGTCAACTTACATTCTCATTTTATATTGTGCTATAAAAAGGATTGTTTCTCCATATTTTACACACACACACATGCTTTTCCCTTTCAGCCTCTTTGTCACAGGCAAGAAGACTAGGAGGCTGTCGTGGGCCCTGCCTTTCCTACCCTTCTCCTTCTCCCTGGGCTTCCTCAGCCCCCATTTTAATTCTTGATCATGTAGGAATTGTTTTTGGTAAATGTTGATATTATTGTTATTATTGTTATTAATAAATAAAAACAAGAGGAATTTTTGTTTAAAAGAGAAATGTTTAACCAGATTCTGTTCTATTTGAATTGTGACTTGCACCTTTTGTTCAAAGTATTTTATTTAGACATTGTAATTGTGAACAGTTCTCGTGCCGGTGACAGATGTAGTGGTCTCCTTTCCCTAGTTGAAGCAGAGCATACGCAATAGCTATTGTTTCTGTCATTATCTTTATTTTTTTTTTCACTGTTAGAAACCAAAGTCTTCTCTGCTGGCTGGGGGCTGACAAAGGATCTGGGTTGTCTCCTTTGATCTTCAAAACAAGAAAGAGATGTTACATATTCTGACTCTTGATCCTTTTTTTCTGCAGAAGGAGAGTTAATAGTCCCCAGCCCCCTCCTAGTCTTTCATCTTGAATTTGCACAGAAGAAAGCGGGTGCCCAGCATGGCCATCCTGGTGTTGCTGACAGGATCCCCATGCAGCTTGTCCTTCTCACTGATATTGGCAGCTCAGCTCCTGGAGCCAGTATCCCTCGATGGATTTCTGCAGTGCAAGAGCCTTTCTTGGGATACGTCCCATGTTGCCATGATCCCCAATCTCCCGCCACTTGGTGGTGCCACCAACTACTCACCAGAAGGAGGCTACCAAGAAAGCCTGAACAGCTACTGTTTGACTTCTCTGGGCTCCTTCCAATTCCAGTGCCCCCGACTGCACCCCCACCCCAGCCTGTTCTGTTTACATGGGACTGAATTGATGGGAGAGCCGACTGCCACCCTCTGTTGACCACCCAGATGGAAGCCAGTGAGCCTAGTAACCGTGCCATCTTGCGAACTACACTTTAAAAAACTCATTGCTTTGTATTGTAGTAACCAATATGTGCAGTATATGTTGAATGTATATGAATATACTTTCCTATTTCTGTTCTTTGAAAATGTCAGAAGTATTTTTTTCTTTCTCATTTATGTTGAACTAAAAAAGGATTAAAAAATCTCCAGACCCAAGTTGCAGTAAGACCTTTAGTCCCTTTTTTGTGGGCACTTACAACTTAGTAATTTAATTGAAAAGTAGGGGATTGTGAAAATAAAAACCTGATTACCCTCTTATGTTGTATATTATTTTGCTTGTAGTTCGGAGTCTAGTTGGGAAAAGCATCAGGCAGCTGGAGACTGAAGAAGTCTACCAAATGTAGGGTGGAGCTTGGAGCGATGCATTCTCACCCTACCTTGTAAAACTGGCATTTTCTGGAAGCCTGAACTCAGCTCCACACTGTGGTCCCATGCACCCAGTTTGGACTCCGCCCCCTCAGAAAGGAGCATTGGAGTTTGCAGAGTTCGGTGGAAACAGATTCTTTGAGAGGGCATTTTTGAAGGAGTAGGAGGACGTCCTCAGAGACCTGAGGCCTGGAGGCTGGGGCCTTTATAAGGTCAGTGTTAGGATAGAAAGGGGACTTTCCCATAACGTTCCCCCTTTCCCCACCCCTGGACTCCCAAGGGCAGGGTAGAATTTCCAGCAAGGTCCCAAGCATGGCTAAGAGATAACTGAAAGTCTTCTATGAAGAGAGATTATTGAAGCTGGAAATATGGAGTTTGTAGAAAGCAGAGTGAGGAGGGAATTTACAAAAGCTTTCGAGCCCATGGTGGATTAGAAAGTCACGGTCAGCCTGTTGAGAACAGAAAAGAGCCTTCCCAAGAAGTCTTCCAGAAGTCATCTGAGTCTCTGCACACTGCCATGGAAGTCTGGGTGAGTCTCTGAAACAAAACAGCGATTTAACCAGATTCCTCTCAACAATGTGTCACAACCTTTTGTAAAAGATGCCACTCCCTCCTGAAGTCAGCCAGGGAGGGTGCTTTGGGGATAAGCACAGAAGAATCAGGACATTGCCTTTTGGATATAGACCTGGAGATCAGAGCTCTAAAAAAATAGAAGCTATGCTGCCAGGTCCTTACTGGTCTTCCAGACTGTGGTAACTCCCACCCCATTCCAACTGCAGAGATCGAGAATTCGGAAGGCTGGTGTGCCTCCCAAGGAGCCAGACCTCTGCTCACCTTGTACACAGATGAGCTCTAGTATCACCTTACCGTGTTTCCCCAAAAATAAGATGTAGTCAGAGAAGAAGCCCTAGTATGATTCCTCCAGGATATGGAGGGCACGCAACCCTCACATGAGGGTTTTATGACCTGTTTCAGGGTGAAGGATGCCTTTTCCACAAACTCCTTCAGCTTAAAATATTCAGTATGCCAGGATGTTGTATTTTCGTACCTAAAATCATGCTATAGCTTATTTTCCGACTAGGTCTTATTTTCGGGGAAATGGTATCTCCTAAGCAGGAGGGCAGGAGAGAATCTTGCATTTGGTTGGTTACAGTGCCCTGCCCTAGGGTCTAAATTTGGGCTGTATCACCGAAAGCTGCAATAAAATTGCCAAATAGAAAATGTTGGGGGGGGGGCTCCTCTGTCCCCTGCTCAGTCCAAACCTCCCCAACCCCATTCTGACCCACCACATGCTCTCATGTTCTGAGCAGGGGCTGTGACAAGGCCAAATGCTCAAGAGTTTCTTGAGTCTCCTCCCAAGGCCTGTTCCTTCAGATGACCCTTTGCCATCCTGGTGAACCTTCCTTTGGTGTGCCAGTGTCATTGATTGAACAAATATTTGTTGAGTGTCTGTTATGTGCCAAGCCTAGCAGGGGACAGAGTCCTCCCAGAGCCAATTGACCAGTGTGACATTGGGGCATAAATTGTGAAATGAGCAAAAGCCACTCCTGCAGTCAGCTAGCAGCACTCCCACCTGTGTCAGGGGACCCAGGGCCAGTTACTTGGTGACCTACTTCAGAAACAGTCACTCTGGAAACTCCCAAGATCAGGAGAAGAGGGTGTGGCAGGACAAAGGGACTACATTGGTGGGCACTGCACCCATTAAACAGTCTAATCCATGGGCGCTTGATGCCTCTAACAATGACTGGCTAGCCCCCGAGTCTGATTCTGAAATGCACCCAGTTTGTTGGTGGTGGTATTTCCCTTGGGTCTCTGTCCAGAAAGATTCCTTCCTCTCCTAAATATTAGCAATGAGGGACTTGGGCTAGTTTAAGCCAAATATCTTATAGTGAAATGGAGTAGACACGCTAGTGAATAAGTTTATTTAAAAAGGAACCTTCTTGCTCCGTAAGATGCTGTCAAACAGCACTTCCCAGCCCAGTGCCTTGAAACCCCCCCGAGCCAGGAAGGTGCCAATTCCTGAACAAGGGCTATGGGCTGAGCCCCTGCTGCTGGTGGGCAACAGGCAACCAACCATCAAAGAAACAGAAGCCTGATTCCCAGTCCTAGTAACACCAAATATTAATGATTGACAGATGGCAGGGCAGCTCTTGGCAACTCTGAGCTGCAGTCTTCTTATAGACAAAATAACAAGGAGGCTATCTGGCCTGCCAGCCTTACAGGGACATACTAAGTCAAACATGAAAGTAATTTGGCCACTAAAGAACCATGCAAACAGGATACTAAGTTTAGCCATAATAATCATTTCAGTAACAAACCAAAGAGGAAGGTAAAACTGGCAAGTAGCTTGGAGTCCAACCTATAAGCTTCCGAGAACCTGGGAAGAGCTCTACTGGCAAAAAGAAAGGAATCTCTTGGCCTGAGACACCCACCTTAAACTGACCCAGCAGGGACTGGCCTCTCTCTCACTCTCCAAACATTAAAAGCTGGGTTGGCCAGCCGGCCAGCTGGCAGCCCAGGCCGACTGTTAACTGAGGCTGTAGTCCCGCAGGTCTCTGGGGCTGGGTCAGTCTTGGGACAGAGATCCCTATCACAGGGCCACATAGAGAAAACACGATTCCCTGCCTTCCCCCACGTCTGCTGCCCGAAGCTAAGGTCTCAGCTCTGGTCTGACCATGTAGGTGTGATCAGTGGGAGCAAGGGGGAAAAATGCCAGAAACTGGGATTCTGGGACACAGAATAGTTGTTGTTTATGAAGTGCCAAGTCCCTTTCAGTTTTGCCATACATGTTCATATTTAGTGCTTAAAACACCACCAATTTATTATCTTCCAGTACAATTATGCAAGTCAAAAGTTGAAAATGGGTCACACAAGGCTAAACTCGTGGTGTCAGCAGTACTGTGTTTCTTCTGGAGACTCGAGGGGGACATCCGTTTCTTTGGCTCTTCCAGCTTCTAGAGGCTGCCCACATTCCTTGGCTCATGGCCGCCTTCCAGCAATCACACCACTCTGACCTCTGCTTCCGTCCTCTCATCTCTTTCTCCAACTCTGCCTGTCCTCTCTCCCTTTTGTATATTTAAGGATGCTTGTGATGACACTGGAGAATCAGGATAACCACCCCATCTCAAGGTCCTTATATTCACATCTGCAAAGTCCCTTTTGCCACGTAAGGTAACAGTCACAGGTTCTGAGGAGCAGGACATGGACATATTTGGGGGGCCATTATTCTGCTTGCCAGACATAGTTACCCTTCCTATACTTCTAGGAGATGGCATATTCTATCATTATCCTCATTTAACAGGTAAGAAACTTGATTTGTGCAGAGGTTCTGTGACTTGCCCAGGGTCACACAGATACTAAATGGCAGAGCTGGTATTCAAACCTAAGGTTGCCCTGCTCCAAAGCTTTCTTCTTTAAGGTGAAAGGCATAAGACTGGCTTGAGTGTGAGAATCCTGGAGCCCCACCACTCCAGGATCTGGCAGATAGCAGCATCAGGCTAGTATTTAGAATACGAGCAAGTTTCTTTTTTTAAAAAAAAGATTTTTATTGGGGAATTGGGGGGATGGGAACAGTGCTGGGGAATTGGGGGAAGGGGAACAGACAAGTTGTCCTTTTGTTCTTCAGTCTAGTTGTGCAGGACGTTGCTTCACTGGCCCAAGTTGGCACCATCATTGCGCTCTTCCCCGGCGAGGCACATCAGTCGCCGGCTTCTGGACGGCCGCTCACTGCAGCTGCTGGCCACTCACGCTGGCTGCTGGCTACACACGGTAGCCCATGGCAACCCACTGCCACAGGGGCTGCAGCCTACGCCGTCATCGGCGACTCATGGCAGCCCAGCTCCAGGTTGAGCTGTTGTTCAGCATCTTAGCTGTGGAGGGCAGTGTCACTGGCCCTCATATGTGGGATCCGAACCGGGGCCCTCTGGCGTCCCAAGCCAGTTCTTAACCATCACGCCACTCGGCCGGCCCGAGGGAGTTTCTTTAGCATATGGTACAGAGCATATTTCTGCCTGGGTTCCCAAGCCCAGAGACCTGGATTCTAAGTCCAGTCCTTCAACTCCCTCCCTGGGAGATGAGAGACACTGGGTAAATTCCTTTCACTGTCTTCAGTTTCCTCATCTGTACCATGGCAGGAGTTGGGGGAGGCTGGAGTAGTTGATCTCAAAGTTCCTCTCAGCGTGGACATTCAGAGGTTCCAAGATTCAGGTCCTGTCAATGAGCTGGTGTTGGAGGTCCTGGGCCTTTCAGGAGAAACCTTGCAAACTGGTACTGCAAACACCAACAAACACACAGCAGGATCTCATGGGGGCCTCCAACAACCCCGGCCGTTCTTGTCTCCATTTTACTGATAGGAAACCAAGGCTCAGAGAGATTACATATCTGGCTAACCATCCTCCTTTCAGGATTTTGCAAGTTGGAGGCAAAATGAAATGAGAAAGCCATTTTCCTGCTACCTCCTGGACTAGAACTCTTTCCCCCACAGCAGTGATACTTGAGGGCTGGCATCCATTCTCACCTGTGCGTGATCAAATATAAATATGAACCACGCAAAGATATATGTATTCAGTTGAAGTGCCCTTTATTCTGAGATTATGCCCTATTTTAGTGTTAAACAATCTTTTCTTTTTTGGAGTGCTGGTCATGGTAGATGGTAGGGTTTGGGGGGCAGGGGGCAGTAGGTAAGATTTTCATATGACAAAATTAAAAGATTCTGTAAGAGTGCTGGGTGGTGTCTTGCCCTTGTGGGGGAGGGATGGGGTGCGAGTGAAATCATCTCCCTGGAATGTGAGGGGAGTATCTCCTGAGGAGCGCCCGCCCTCCTGGCCAGCTTGTGGGTTTTTCTTCCTTCCCTCTCCTCTCCCCAGCTGTGAGGCACAATGAACAATGGTGGGGAACACACTTCCCACCACAGAAAAGGGGATGGATTCAGCTAACCACCACCCTTGAGGACCTGCACACCTGCAACCACCCTCCTCCCACGCCCTCCTGAACCCTTGATCCCTGGCCCTGCAGCCCCCGCAGCTTCCTGTTTGCCCACTCTATTTGTCCGGCCACAGGGACAGAGCTGATCCTTGAACTCTAACAAGTTCCACATCGCTGCTGGAACCAGTGAGCAGCAGCAAGGCCTGGGCTGCCTCCCAGCCCAGCCCCTGCTGGAGACATAAATAGGCCCGGGGAGAGCTGCTGCACAGCCACTGCTGAAGTGCTGCTCCAGGTAAGTGCTGCTGCCTGCCCCAGGTTCCTCTGGCTTCCCCAGCTCTAGCCATTCGAGGCTCATGCTCTGTGACCTTGGCTCTCGGCTCTGCCCCATGCTGGGGCTCTGGATACCTGAGGCCTTCTCTCTGTAACCCTCCGCCTCTTCCCCTGCCTGGAATGAGTGGGGGAGCATAGAGCTCTTCCACGCCAGAGGCCCGCGCGCTTAGACAGGCCCCTCTTCTCCTCCAGATCACTCAGAATGAAAGCCGTGGTGCTGACCTTGGCTGTGCTTTTCCTCACAGGTAGGTGCCCGCCCCCCACCTCCTGCCCCAACCTAGGAAGCCAGTCATCAGGGGAGCTCTTCTCCCTAAACCCCTATGGCCCACACTCCTGGGCACAGGGAGCAGAATCTCACCAGCCCCCTCTCTCCTGCCTCCAGGCCTGGACTTGCAGCTCAGATTCCGGCCCAGAGCTGGCCTGATCTCAGTCTCCCCTCTCACCCCCAGGGAGCCAGGCTTGGGAACTCTGGCCGCAAGATGAATCCCAGGCAAAATGGGATCGAGTGAAAGATTTGGCCGCCTTGTACGTGGATTCAGTCAAAGACAACGGCAGAGACTATGTGGCCCAGTTTGAAGCCTCCGCCTTGGGAAAACAGCTAAAGTAAGGACCCAGCCTGGGGTCTGGGGCAGGGGCAGGGGCAGGAGCTGCCGGTCTAGGGAACAGAGAGGCCTGTGGGAAGATGTAGCCACACTGGCCGAACCCTCACCTGCTATTTGATGGGCCCCATAGAAGGCATGGATGGAGAAACAGGAATGGGATTTCCAAGCTGGGTCACAGCCTCCTAACAAGCAACAGACCAGCACTGCCCGGTTAGTAATCACAGCACCACGTTCTGCCTGCAAGTGCAGCAAACCCCTTGCCATTCTTAACTCCCTTCTCTGCTGCTACTCAGCAACAGGGATGGCTGTCTTCAGAGAGGAGAATGGTCTGGAAGCATAGAGATGAGGTCCTTAGATGGCCCTGCTTTGGGAGCAGACAAGACTGGACAAAACCCAGCTGTCTTTCACTAGCTCTTCAGCCCATCTGTGCAATGTGATGTGTGTGGGGGGGGTGGGGGGCACTGGGTGCAACAGTGTATGGGAAAAGCCAGGCCCGGGTCTGACCCACAGCTACCGCACGTTCAGGGACAAGTTTTGCCCAGGTCTCACCACAAGTAAGCTGTGGCGCTGAGCCTGCAGCTCAGAGGGTGTCCGGGAGGTCCCCCCTGATGCCCTCTCTCCGCCCCTCCAGCCTGAAACTCCTGGAAAACTTGGACAGCTTGAGCACCACAGTCGACAAGCTGCGGGAACAGCTGGGCCCGGTTACCCAGGAGTTCTGGGATAGCCTGGAAAATGAGACAGAGGCGCTGAATCGAGAGATGAACAAAGAACTGGAGGAGGTGAAACAGAAGGTGCAGCCCTACCTGGACCGCTTCCAGAAGAAGTGGCAGGAGGAGGTGGTCCGCTACCAGCAGAAGGTGGCGCCGCTGGGCGAGGAGCTCCGCGACAGCGCGCGCCAGAAGCTGCAGGAGCTGCGCGACCGCGCGCGCAGCCACGTGGACACGCTGCGCCAGCAGCTGGCGCCTTATAGCGATGATCTGCGGGAGCGTCTGGCCACTCGGCTGCAGGCGCTCAAGGAGAGCGGCACCATCCTGTCTGCGTACCACAACAAGGCCAGCGAGCAACTGCGATTGCTGAGTGAGAATGCCAAGCCAGCGCTAGAGGACCTCCTTCAGGGCCTGCTGCCCATGTGGGAGGGCTTCAAGGACGGTGTCCTGACCGCCATGGAGGAGTTAACCAAGAAGCTGTTAGCCTAGTGAGATGCCCTTTGCCCCCTGGGACTCCTCCTGACCTCGGGACCAGAGGGGTCCTCTCTTCCAGCACCCCTTCCCATCATTCAGTTTCTTAGAATAAACGTTTCCAAAGCGGGACGTATGTGTCGGTTTGTATGCTTTTTGAAGCTTTATGATTTTTTTTAAAGATTTTATTGGGGAATTGGAGGGGGGGAACAGTGTTGGGGAATCGGGGAAGGGGAACAGACAAGTGGCTGTCCTTTTGTTCTTCAGTCTAGTTGTGGAGATCGTCGCTTCACTGGCCCAAGTTGGTATTATCATTGCGCTTTTCCCCGCCTAGGCAGTCGATCGCCAGCCACTGAACCGCCGCTCACGGCAGCTCTTGGCAGCTCACACTGGCTGCTGGCTGCTCACAGTAGCTTACGGCTGCAGCCTTCGCAGTTGCCGGAAACTCATGGCAGCCCAGCTCCAGGTCAAGCTGTTGTTCACCATCTTAGCTGTAGCAGGCACAGCATCACTGGTCCTCATGTGGGATCTGAACCGGGGCCCTGCTGCTCAGAGCTGGAGTCCCAAGCCAGTTCTAACCAGCGCGCCACTCGGCCAGCCCTAAGCTTCGATTATGATTTTTAAACAATAAAAAGTTCTCCAAAATAAAAGTCTGTCTTGGGAAAATGGGGGCGGGGTGAGGGTCGCTGGCAGGGACATCTGGGGAACCCGGGCAGGGTCCCTTGGCCAGCGGACAGGGACTGCCCCATTGATTTTCAATTCCAAACCTAGACCTCTCAGGGTCCTAATGTTGGAGGAGCTGCTAGGCCCTGGCTGCTTAGGAGTGAGGCAGTATGAGATCCCTTCCAAAGGAGGAACAGGAAGGACCAGGCAAAGCTATAGATAATTCAATGCTAGGTGCCCTGAAAGAGCTTCAATCAATATTGCAGTCCTGTCTGAAGAGGGTCAGGAGGCAGGGTTGGCTTTGCTGAGAGAAGTGGGTTCCCTGTCCCCAGAGGTGTTCCCATAGGCGGAGGACAGGAGCCTCTCCCAGCCCTCTGGCTCTGGGCAGGCGGGGCTGGGCCTCAAGGAGCCATTGGGACTTGAAGGATTTGGCGGGGCTCAGATGAAGAGCTTGGCCCTTGCTCCTTCCTCCTTTATTAATTCAACAACACTTAAACAAATGCTCTCCTTTTCTTTTTTTCACAAGGGCAGCCTGCCACTCCTCACATTCCCACCCTACCCCTGAAACAGCCAACGTGTCCTCAGGCAGGGCTGTGCAAACCAACCAACCCACCTTTAGGGCTCCAAGCCCTGCCACCCCCTTTTTCTGCCAGCTCTGGCCTGAGTCAGAAAAATAATCACCACCTCTTGCAGGGAATCAGCACATTTTTATTTTCAAAATGCTTTCAATATCCATCATCTCACTGCATCCTTCCCCAAACCCTGGGTAAACAGCCATTAAAAGCACAGTATGGATGAGGAAGCTGAAGCTTGGAGTTGGGAAGTCACTCGCCAAGGTTGAAGAGCTGGATGGGCGAGGTTGCCCTTTACAGACCCATTTGCCCCCGGGAATCCGTGGTTATTTAAAAAAATCAAGTGTGTGGCCAGGCACTCAAGTTTGTTCTGGTGCGCACACATGTACGCACATTCTCCTGTGTACATCCCTGTTCACAGTCAGCCCCTCTTCACTTTCACGTACATAGAGCCCTTGTATGTGCACATGGCTTTCACATATCTTCAAAGGTCTGGGCAGTGCGTTCATGGAGCCATCCCTACCCTCTCCCCTCAGGACCTTTGCCCCCTGGTGCAAGCCATTGGATAATCGCCCCTCCTCCATCTTAACTCTTGGATAAACCAGCAGGCTTTTTATTTATTTTTTTTTTTTTTAAAGATCTTTTTATTGGGGAGTTGGGGGAAGGGGAACAGACAAGTTGCTGTCCTTTTGTTCTTCAGTCTAGTTGTGGAGGACGTTGCTTCACTGGCCCAAGTTGGCACCATCATTGCGCTCTTCCCAGGCAAAGGCAGATCAGTTGCCGGCTTCTGGACGGCTGCTCACGCTGGCTGCCGGCTACACACGGTAGGCCATGGCAACCCACTGTAGCAGGGGCTGCAGCCTACACCATCCTGGCAATTCACGGCAGCCCAGCTCCAGGTTGAGCTATTGTTCAGCATCTTAGCTGTAGAGGGCGGTGTCACTGGCCCTCATATGTGGGATCCGAACCGGGGCCCTCTGGCATCCCAAGCCAGCTCTTAACCAATGCGCCACTCGGCCAGCCCCCAGCAGGCTTTTTAGTTCCTAACCATCCTGAGCTACAATAATAGGTATCAAGCCCAGGTTTGAGTGAGAGCATTTCCCAGGTGGTGCTGGTGTTCCTGGCCCAGTTGGGCAAGAAGAGAAGCCCAGGTGGATTTCCGAAGAGAGAGCAGAAGTCTTTCAGTGGGACTGGATGTATGAGTTCGGACAATTAAGTTCGCGAACTTGTTGCAATGATGTTGCTAACCTGTTTTGATATCAGAGGGATTATTCATTATGAATTTGTACCAACTGGACAGTTAACCAAGTTTACTATTTGGAAGTGCTGAAAAGGCTACATGAAAAAGTTAGATGAAAACAACCTGAACTTCTCACCAAGTTCATGGCTCTTGCATCACGACAATGCACCAGCTCACACGGCACTGTCTGTGAGGGAGTTTTTAGCCAGTAAACAAATAACTGTATTGGAACACTCTCCGTACTCACCTGATCTGGCCCCCAATGACTTCTTCCTTTACCTGAAGATAAAGGAAATATTGAAAGGAAGACATTTTGATGACATTCAGGACATCAAGGGTAGTACAACGACAGCTCTGATGTCCAGTCCAGAAAAAATTCCAAAATTGCTTTGGAGGGTGGACTAGGTGTTGGCGTCAGTACATAGCTTCCCAAAGGGAATACTTTGAAGGTGACCGTAGTGATATTCAGCAATGATGTATGTAGCACTTTTTCTAGGATGGATTCGCGAACTTAATTGTCTGACCTCATATGAATACTACCAAGATCTGTAAGGGAGCCCTCCGCAACCAGGCATAGGAGTAACTAAGCGTTTTTCTGTGTCAGCTGAGCAGAATATGGGCAGAGGTCTGGGTCTATTGTCTGCTGATTCTGTGATGTTGGACAAGTGCCTTTAGTTTTCTGAGCCTCAGTTTTTTCACTGGAAGAGTAGGGGACCTGCTCGAGCAGAGTGTGGTTCTGAAACTCCCTGACATGAACATCTGTTAGGTGCTGGGGACACAAGCAAAGCAGCTTCTGTGGGTGACCTTGGGTTCCTTCTTAGTTCCCAGGAGGCCCCTCCCCATTCCAATCCTGGTCCCAAGGGACAATCAGCTCAGCCTCTAGCAACAAAGACAGCCATTTACCAGGTACCTTTGATGTGCCAGGTACTATGCACTGTCTCATTTCATTCATTCATTCATTCATTCATCCATCCATCCATCCAACAAACCTATAATGGAGGGGATATTATTGTACAGGTAAGAAACTGAGGCTGATATAACATGATGGAGCCAAGACTAGAGCCTAGTTATATCTTACTCCAACCACTACCCCAGCGGCCTCCTTCCCTCAAGTGTGGTTGAGAGGGCCAGGCAGCCCAGGTAGTGCAAGTCAGCTCCATAATTTTGGTGAATACACACAGTATCAACTCTGATTATGACAAAAAAATGCCAGGCATAGTGCCTGGCATAGAGCACACACCCAAGTCATGTTGTACAACATTTGACAGTTTATCAAAGTATTGTTAAATCTATTATTCCATTTGCTCCTCCACATAAACCTGTCGAGGCAGGCAGGGTAGGTAGGGTTATTCCTACCTTACAGATGCAGAAACTCGGGCCCAGATACCACCCAGACACTAAAAGGTGGGTAGGGCACTGGCCTCAGGCCTGCCGGAGTTGGAGTCAGTCCAGTGCTTACCCACAGAGCAGCCCAAACATGCCCACGACCAAACATACATGGCGCACATGGGACGTCCCACTCACAGCAGCTTCTTGTCCAGCTTTATTGGGAGGACAGCATGCCTGGGGGTGGGTCAGGTCTGGGGAATGGGGTGGGAGGACACTGAGAATGCTGTTCCTTTCAAGCGACCTTCAGGAGCAGCCCTGGCGGTTGCAGGACCCACGGAGCCGGCAGGCTGGATGGGCAGGTGTGCTGGGGGTGTGGAGGTCTCAAACTGGAGCTGGTGTGGTCTCAAAAGTCGAATCCCAGAACCCGGAGACCTTGCCCTTAAGTGTGCTCCAGTAGTCCCTCAGGGAGTCGAAGCCATCAGTCATCCAGCCCCTGGGGGTGAAATCAGCAAAGGGGAACAACACAGGTGGGGGTGAGAGTTCATCTGTGCGCAGCAGCCACCACGGGGCCCCCACCATGTCCCCGCACCCTCTCAACCTCACCCAGCAATACCCCTGAGATCTCAGTCAGGGTCCCCTATGGCTCCGCCCAGGCAGAGGAGATGTGCACGGTAGTGACGGGACCCTAGTTGAGTCCAGCCCTTATTTCTCCAGGCTGGGGTGGACGTTTGTGCCCCCACTGATCTGAGGCAAGCTGGAGAGGAATGATTGGGCAAAGAGAGGTGTAAGGGCAGGGCTGTCATGCTGTCCTAGGCAAATGATGTCCCCTGGAGTTATACAACTTGGTGGCCTTTGAATGGGATGGGGCAGAGGGAAGCAGTCTCTCATTTGGAAAATCATTAGAGAGTTAATTAGCTTTGTGATCAAGGGCAGGTCACTTAACCTCTCTGAGCATTGATTTTCTCACCTGCAAAATGGGGGAAAACAATACCTACTCCGCAGCCGGTACTGAGGACTAAGAATGCTTGTGAGTGTTTCTGCCACGTAAATGCCGGCCAGCGTTGGTGGAGTGGAGGTGGGGAGAGGAGAGGACTAGAAGGCAGTGGGGTATGGTGGTGAAGGAAGGGCGGACTTCTGCTCACAAGGGGCCAAGGGCTTGGAACAAGGCAGAAACACACCCGAACACCCTGGGCTGAAACTGGGTCGGGCGGAGCCTCCCAGCCAAACCCCTAGTCAGATTATCAGAAGACAAAAATGGAAGTGGGGGCTAAAATGGCCTTTCTTAGAACCATGCAGGGCACCTGAGGGAGAAAAGAGGGACAGAAAAGGGAGAAGAGGCCGGGAGGAGACAGATGCCTCTGTCATCTCTCCACGGCAGCCTGAAAGAGCTGTGAGGGAACCCTGTTTTGTACACCAGAACATGGAAGCTCAGAGAGGTGCACGTCCTGGGTGGGCGTGGGAGAGCTACAGCCCTGTGGCCAGGGCTGTCACCAAGTCAGAGGCAGGTGGGAGCTGAGGGAGCTGGTGCCAAAGACAGGGAAGTGAGGGCATACCTGGCCACCAGGGACTCCTGCATGCTGGTCAGAGCGTCCTGGGCCGTCTTGCTGGCTTGCTGCACGTAGCCCTGCATGAAGCCCAAAAGGGAGGCATCCTCGTCCTCCAAGGCTCCTGCAAGGACAGCAGGTCTGAGTGGGATGCTCTTGGCTCCTGCCCAGCCAGCCATCAGTGCCCGGGATCACCAAGCCACCTCCCTGGGGTCCTCCAGGTAGACAGCTATCCCCACCTGCCCCCAGCCCTTTCCCCACAAGCTGCTTACGGACAGAGGCCAGGAGCGCCAGGAGGGTAGCAATGAGGAGGACCCGGGACTGCATGGTACCTCTGCTCCTGCAGGGAAGTGTCCTGTGAGGGGAACCCCAAGTACCCCCCTCCACCTCTCAGCCCTCCCTGGGGAAGTGTCATGGCCCCTAACGTGGAACTGAGCTGGGTCAAACCAGGCAGAGAGAGGGCCTGCACCCATGCTAATACAGGGAGATGAAGGGCATTCAGAAAGGGGACTCAGGGAGACGCAGCCCAGAGGGAAGGCGAGACGGGGTGGAGCAGAAAACCCCAGACTAAGAAGCAGGACACCTGGGTTCTGGCCTGGTTTCTGCCACTAACAAACATGCTGTGTGACTTTGGGTGGATTTCTGCCCCCTCCAGGCCTGTTTTTCTGTCTGGGATAGGACTGGGGTGTCTAAGGCTTCTTCCAATCCTAAACATGCAGAACGAGGGGACAGTGAACAGATCTGGAGCCAGTTCCAGTCCCAGTTCTGCCACTATACTCTATGTAGCTTTGGGTAAGTGAGCTCCCCTCACAGGCCTCAGTTTCCACCAGTGTGCAATTGGAGGTGGGGGCTGCTCATCAAGCCCTAAGTCTTCCTTGGCTTTAGCAAGCTCCTCCTCCTCCAGGCGTTGCCGACTGGGCCGGCAGAGACCCTCCTCTGCTCTACTCCGACCTTCTCTCCTGTCCCCCACCTCCCCCTCCCCAGGGCATTACCTGGAGCAGCTGCTTCTTGGAAGAAACTGAATAGGCAGACAAGAGGGCTCTGACCTGTTTTATATTGTCCCCAGGTCAGCGAGCATTTAGGGCCCAGTGAGCCGGGCAAAGGTCACCTGCTGATCAGTCTAGACCAGGGCCTGAGGCAGGGTGGCCAGCTACAGCCAGGACTGCTGGGAGAGTTGGGAAATCTCTAGAAGGCTGTGAGTGCCCATGCTGTTCTCTTGTCACCCCTGCAGCCCAGATGGAGCCTGGGGAGACTCCTATCGCTAGGGAGAGGATGGTGAGGTGGGAGAGACGAGCCAGAGGCCTCCAGACCCACCTTAGCCCTTCACATCTGGTCCCTTCCTCTCCCACCCCCAATCCCTGAAAACAGCCTGAACTGGGGGGAGAGTGGAGGATAAAGCTCAGGGCATTGGGATCGGGGTGTCTACAGTGAAGTCACAGAAAGCAGAGGCTTGTGTGGGGAGTGCAACACAGTTGAGTTCACACAGCACCCCTCCCCAGCATCTCCATCTCTGGCTTCAATCCCAGTGCCGCTTACCCAGAAGCCTCCTTGAGCTGGCCCAGGGGAGGGGTGGGTGGGAGAAGGGCCAAGGCCTTTGAGCCCAAGGACTTTGTCCTGCCCCTCCTCCCGTCTCCTCACCTTGCCCTCTGGACCCACAGATAACATTCCATGGCAGAGGTTGGGCTCATGGCTGGGGCCCTCCCCAAATTGTGGCAGCTGGGATCGAGTCCCAGTGCTGAGTACCTCTCACCACGGGTTGCAGATTCCTCAGCTTGGAAATAGCTGCCCTGTCAGAAGACCCAGCAGGCAGGGTGGTACGGACCTGGGTGGAGAAGCCAGGTGTGTGGGCCCACACAGCTGGGTCACAGCATGTCCTGAGGCCTGGGACCTTCTTTCTTTCTTTTTTTTTTTTTTAAAGATTTTTTTATTGGGGAATTGGGGGAAGGGGAACAGACAAGTTGCTGCCCTTTTGTTCTTCAGTCTAGTTGTGGAGGACGTTGCTTCACTGGCCCAAGTTGGCACCATCACTGAGCTCTTGCCGGGCGAGGCAGATCAGTCGCCGGCTTCTGGACGGCCGCTCACTGCAGCTGCTGGCCGCTCACGCTGGCTGCTGGCTACACACGGTAGCCCATGGCAGCCCACTGCCACAGGGGCTGCAGCCTATTCCATCCTGGCAACTCACGGCAGCCCAGCTCCAGGTTGAGCTGTTGTTCAGCATCTTAGCTGTGGAGGGCAGTGTCACTGGCCCTCATATGTGGGATCCGAACCGGGGCCCTCTGGCGTCCCAAGCCAGCTCTTAACCAACGCACCACTCGGCCGGCCCAGACCTTATCTCTTTCAAAGGGTTTGGCACTCCTAGCAGCTCCCAGCCTGGTTCTTGGTAGGGGTAAGGGCTATCTCAGTAGGGGCCGTCTCAGTGGTCAACCTAAGCTGCCTCTCCCTCCTTTCTCCTCTTCCTCCCTCCTGTCTGGCTCCTGGAATGAGGAGACTGCTCTGGGCTTGGCCCACAGACCTCTCTAGGGAGTAAAGGGGATGGGGAGCGGACACTTGACCAGCTGAGGCCATAAATGGTCCTCTGGGGTTAGGCTGACTCTCTCTGCTTCCACTTGTGTCCAAGTGAGGCTGAGTACATGAACCTCTGTTATCCTTGTTCCTGCCACTAGGATGGACTGGGCAGCTCTGATTCAGCCCTGCCAGCCAGAAGCCCTGGTTCACCATGCTTCTCCACACTGGAAGTTCCTACCCGGATCCTTCCCACTACCACAGAAGCTACCCACCTTTAGTTCCGCCCTGGGATAGGCTGGTATGGAGCATATGTGGGGACATGTGTCCACGTGACTTGCCTGTTCCTGGCTGGGCCTGTCCCTGACTGGGTCTGAGCTGTACCCAATCTCTGGGCTGACCCCTGTGGGTAGAGAGGAGAGTGGCTGTAGGTAATGCTGGACTCCCACCCTGATCACCTCACCAACCTTTAGGTCTATCTGTTGTACATACAAGGAGACTGAAGCTCAGAGAGGGACGCAACTCACCCAATATCACCATACCTTTTGTGCTCACCAATGTGGCCATCCCCCGACTCATAGGGCCAGGCCCAAAGAGAACCAGAGGCCCAGAGGAGGCAGTCTGCTCCTTCCATCCGCACTTGCATCCTCTAAGACTGGGCACAGGGCTCACCTTCTCCCCACCCCCCAGGACTAATCTGTTCACACAATGATACAAAACATGCAGACTGTGGGAAATACATGCATCATTAATGGCGGCCCACCCACCACATGTCAGGAGGCAACATAGCCTCCCCACAGCTATGGGTGCACGCACTGCCTGCACCAGTCCCTTTGCTCTAGTCCTTAGCTTTGTGCCCACAGACAGCTAATTTATCTGCACACTTATATGAATCTGCACACGTTCTGGCAGACACTCTCAGACATACTCAAACCAGCACAGACACTCCTGGGTGAGGGAGATGGACAAACTCTGAACCTGTCACACGCTGGCAGCACCTGCTATTCAGACAGTAAGTCCAGGAGGTCAAACTGCAGCTGAGGTGTCCCTCATGACTCACTGTCCTTCTCATCCCTGACTTGGGGATGGGAGCACCGAGCACCGGCCTTTTTGCCCACCCCAAGCTGAACTGTGCTTGATACAGGACCAGGGCAGATGGGTCAGTGTTTCAGGGAGTCAGCCTTTCAGGGGTAACACATGGGTAATGCTTGATGGGCACTGACTATGCACTAGGCACTGTTCCCAACATCACACAGGTTATCTCATGGAATCCTCACAGCCTAGGAGGCAGCTGAGGCTCAGAGAGGTTAAGAGACTTGCCCAAGATCACACAGACAGTGGGTTGGGGAGCCCAGATGCAAAACCAGGGAGTCTGACTCCAGAATCTGAACCTTTAACAACTACTGCAACACAGCATGGGCTGCTCCAGCGGGAGGAGCTCTCTGACACTGGAGGTGACCAGGACTGGTATGGGGACCCTGCAGGAGGGGTGCCAGCAACAGAAGGCCTTTTAGCTGTCTTCATCCCAAAAGCCATCCAACCATTTCTGGTTTACAAACAAGTGGAGATGTGGTAAATCAGGGTTCGCACAATGTGGTCTCTTGTAATGGCAGATAATTGGGATCCCCCCTACATGCCAGGCACTGTGCCCAAGGAGGGGAGCCAACAGTGCAATACGATGGATGTCATCTCATAGTCACTCAAGGTAGCATGGCATGGTCCAGGGGAGGGCGGATGTCTTTTTGTGATTGTGTAGGTGCCTTCATTTGGAGAGAAGGTTAGAAGTCCAAGTAGAAGACCTCTTGGACATCCCCACCATAACCCTCCCCACCCGGGTGAGAGGCCTCCTGAGAGCCTCAGTTCCCGGGGTTCGTCACAAGCTGACCACTCCTGCCCAGGGAGTGTAGCTGGTGGGCAGGAATCAGGCCTTGGGCTGTCCCACCCATCACCCTGCATCATGCACACCTGGCAACCTGCAGAGGGCTGGGTCTAACTCTGCCACACGTACGGGAGAGGTGAGCACTCTACTGTATTCCCTAGTTTGGTCCAAATCAGGAGAACAATGTTATTTATAACAACAATTTTTTACTGCTCACTCTTTGCCAGGCACTGTACTGCTCACTTCACAAGAAATACCTCAGTTAATATACCAAATAGCCCCATTTCTCAAAGGAGAAACAGGCTCAGAGCTAGGCCAAGTTGAATCACTAGACCAAGGCAGTGGTGGAACATGAGGAACATTTACAATTAAGCCCTTCAATACAGTGCACCTCCTGGGTGCACCTTACCAGAACCCTGGATCTTAGCTCGCTGCCCCCGTCTGTGGCCCAGGGTGTCCCAGTCCAGTGTCTTGTGCTCTGAGATGGAGTTAGGATTGGGTGATATGGGGGGTGAGGGGTGCTCTCTCCCCTGGGTTAGACAGAGGAGGCGTGAACTTTGTCCTCCTCCTGAAGCCTGGCACAGACCCAGAGCTGCCAGCAGAGCCTCTGAGGCATTAGTCCTGGGCTCGGGGGTTCCCCGGGCCTCATTTGTCCCACAGGTCATGGCTCCGTCACCCTCCTTTCTGTACTGGGTGGGGCACAATCAGGGAACAGCTGCTTCTGACTGCTGCCCAAGCCCCATTCTGCTGTCAGCTTCCACGTTGTCTTAGGGTCACAAAAGTCCAAGAGGCCTCCTTGGTATGTGTCACCTTCCAGCGTGGAGTCACACTGGGAGAGGAGGTGGGGAGGGCCGGCTGGCGGGGCTTTAAATATCTGGCTGACTCTGAGCTTCAGTCAGTTCAGACAGCAGCACAGGTGAGCCAGCTGAGAACCTCTCTTCCTGCTGCCTCTGATTCCAGGAAGCATCCAGTACAGTGCGAGACTCTTCCAGCCCAACAAGGAGCCCAGGATGTTCCTGAAGGCTGTGGTCCTGACCCTGGCCCTGACGGCTGTCACTGGTGAGTAGCAGCTGCCTTTGGATGGGGCTTTCAGGCAGGACCCCTCTGCTGCATCGAGTGGGGCAAGGCCAGGGGACTGTTCCCAGTGCCTGCTGGCCCCCAGCTGGATGGACAGGGCTGCCCAGTTGCTACCCAGCCCACAGGAGAGCTGGCCCATTCACAGCAGTAGGCCCACTGGCATTGGTGTTATGCCAGTTTCATATGCTCCTGTGGCCTCTAACTAGCCAAGCTGAGAGTGAAATCGGTAGCTGGGCTCCCCTACTATCATCCAATCTGAAGCATGGGGCTGCTGCAGAGGGACAAGGAAGGGGACAGGTCCTCATGAATTGCTCTGTGTCCTGCCCAGGTGGTCGGGCAGAGGTCAATGCCAACCAGGTGGCCTCTGTGATGTGGGACTACTTCAGCCAGCTGAGCAACAATGCCAAGGAGGCCGTGGAACATCTCCAGAAGTCTGAGCTCACCCAGCAGCTCAAGTAAGAGGGGCACAGCTTGCATGCAGGGTGGGGCTTCTTAAAGGCCATGTAATGTGTTGGCCAGGGCTGAGCTCGGAGGCGGGAGACCTGAGCTTAGTTGACCCTGAGGTCTCTGGACCTGGGCTCCACATATGTAAACAGGGAGGTTGGACTGAATAATCCCTAAGGTGTCTTCCTGTTTGAACTTTCTAGAGTGTGACGAATAGCCATATCTCAGCATTGAGGCTCATGGAAGAAAGGGAGGGAGGGAAATGTTGTGAGGGCTGGGTCTAACACGTTCCAGAAGGACAGGGCCCTGTGAAGTCATGGGATATTTGGGAAGCCTCTGAGAGAGGCACATGCAAGGAGACCAGCACCTTGTGTGGCTGGAAGACGCGGGAAGACATCCAGAACATAACCTATTAGAGAATGTGATCTCTGTCAGCTGGCAAGGACCTCAAAGTCCATTCTTTACAGATAGGGAGAGGGAAAGCAATCTGTTCGAGGTCACATGATAAATGTGACTCAAACTCTGGGAGAAATCCCAAGATACAAATTTAGTATAACAAATTGGTCTGTTACATCACTTGTCTCAAATCATCATACACCATAGGGAAGGTCATAGGGAAAAGATGGGTGAACGCGGTACCCCTGAACACTCACCTGTCCTAGGCAGGTGTGCATAAGGTGAGTGCTGTATCAGGAGACGAGGTCCTGGCATGTAACGCCGAGTGTAACCGTGGCTCCCTTGTGCCCTTCCCCGACAGCACCCTCTTCCAGGACAAACTTGGGGAAGTGAATACCTACGCGGGAGACCTGCAGAAGAAGCTGGTGCCCTTCGCCACGGAGCTGCATGAACGCCTGACCAAGGATTCGGAGAAGCTGAAGGAGGAGATTCGGCAGGAGCTGGAGGATCTGCGGAACCGGCTGCTGCCCCACGCCGAGGAGGTCAGCCAGAAGATCGGGGACAACGTGCGAGAGCTGCAGCAGCGCCTGGGGCCCTACGCGGATGAGCTGCGCACCCAGGTCAACACACATGCGGAGCAGCTGCGGAGCCAGCTGACGCCCTACGCGCAGCGCATGCAGACCGCGCTGCGGGAGAACGTGGACAACGTGCAGGCCTCGCTGACACCCTACGCCGATGAATTCAAAGCCAAGATCGACCAGAACGTAGAAGAGCTCAAGGGGCACCTCATTCCCTATGCGGATGACCTGAAGACCAAGATCGACCAGAACGTGGAGGAACTGCGCCGCAGCCTGTCTCCCTATGCGCAGGACGCCCAGGAGAAGCTCAACCGCCAGCTCGAGGGTCTGGCCTTCCAGATGAAGAAGAACGCCGAGGAGCTGAAGACCAAGATCTCGGCCAACGCCGAGGAGCTGCGGCAGAAGCTGGTGCCCGTGGCTGAGAATGTGCGTGACAAGGTGAGCGGCAACACCGAGGAGCTGCAGAAGTCGCTGACGGAGCTCAGCAGCCACCTGGACCAGCAGGTGGAGGAGTTCCGCCGCAAAGTGGGGCCTTACGGCGAGACCTTCAACAAAGCTTTGGTGCAGCAGGTGGAGCAGCTCAAGCAGACACTGGGCCCCCATGCGGGGGACGTGGAAGGCCACTTGAGCTTCCTGGAGAAGGATCTGAGGGACAAGGTCAACTCCTTCTTCAGCACCCTCAAGGAGAAAGAGAGCCAGGAAAAGCTCCTGGCCCTCCCCGAGCAGGAGCAGACACAGGTCGCCCTGGAGAGCTGAGCTGCCCTTGGTGCTCACGCCCCACCGCTGACACATGCCCTGCCCTGCCACCTGTCTGTCTATCTGTCCCAAAGCAATTCTTGTACGAGCTTGAGGACACATGTCCTGTGGAAAGGGACACTTCTTCTCGCTACTCAATAAAACTGCTGAGAAACTAGCCCAGTCTGGTTGCGGTTTGACTTCTCAGTGTTGAGGTTGGGAGGAGACCACTGCTTGGCAAAGCTTAGCAGAATCCAGCAGGGGGTACTTTGGGGGATACCAGGGCTGGGGAGATGAAACTGTGGGAGACGTGAGGGCAGGGTGTGCTGAGAGGGGTGTGGGTAGTGTGCTAAGGGAGAGGTAGGAAAAGGTGTCACACATTATCCAAAGACGAAATAGGCAGCCCACTGTATTCACTTAGCCAACAAATATTTATTGAGTGCCCTTTGTGTGCCAGCCATGATTCTAGGCACCCAACAATGGGCAAAACAGCTTTTGTGGAGCATGAGTCTGACATTGTGCTTCACTCTGAGGTGGCTACGGAAGTAAGCGAGACCTGGTCCCTGGCTTTGGAGAGCTCATGGCATAGTGGGGCGACTGCCATGCATAACCCCTCCTTGCATAGCTCTTCTGTGCCTGTAACTTGACTTACTTTATGTGAACTTCGGTTTAGTCCACCCCACCCCACTGCCATTATAAAATTGATCATGCTTATTGTAGAAATTTCTTGACTGCTAAACCCATGGTTTCCAGGGCTGAGGAATGAGGCCAAGAGACATGGATGAGTCCTGGGGGCTGGGATGAAGCAGGTGCCTGGGGCTTACAGGGCCCTCATGTGCTCTGCACAGGGGCCTCCTGCACAGGTGCCTGCCTGTCTGGGGCTGAGGTTGTTAGCTACTGGGGTAGATGTCAGGGGAAGAGGAGTTGAGCCCCAAGCAGTCTCATCAGCACAGCCAGCTATGGGCGGCTGCAGCCTCTGGAATGGGCTCTCCCTCCGCCTCAGGAGACTCACAGACTCCTCGAGGAGGAAGCTTCAAAGAAGAGCCAGTTCAAGCCAGTTCCACCCAAATGATTTATATCCTGACTGTTACCTCTGATCCCAGGTCTGCAAGTCCAGCCCAACTCCTTTCCTTCCCAGAATGGGGTGCAGGCCTTTCAGGGTTTTCCTCAAAGATACCCAGAACACATCCTAGGGGCAGGGTCCTGGGGAGAGTGTTCTGGGGCCTCCTGTCTCCATCCCTCCTTCCCAAGGTGCTCTCAGGACAGTAGCCTCACAGGCATGGTCTGGCCCAGGCCTGTCTTGCTCTGGCCCCTGTGCCAGCCTGAGCGTCTGTCTATTGGGAAGGGTTCCACTTGGGAATCAAGCAAACCTGAGCTTGAATCCTGGCTTTTCTGCTGACTGTGGGGTGATTTAAGGCAGATAATTTGACCTCTTTTGGAAGATTGGAATGATAACGCTCAGCGCACAGAGTTGTGAGGGTTTGATGGGATGGTGTATGTTAAGCACTTAGCACAATATTGGGCAGAGTAAATGTGCAGTGACTGTTCCCACGTTGAGGCTGCCACTGAGCACAAGATGCCCAATAAGTGGGATTGCCTCTCTCTGCTCACTCCTTGTCCCTGCTGACATCAGGTCACATGCTCGATAACATGAGGCCACCAGAGCCGGCCAAGGGCAGACCCCTGGGCCTCCCTGGCCCTGGCTGCTCTCAGGTCCACTAGAAGGGCAGGAACCTACCTGTGAAAACACCTTGATAACCCATCAGGCACCTGGAGGTTTACTGGCTGGCTTTAGGAAGGGGCCAAACAGAACAAGGCACTAAAAGGAAGTGGGACAGAGGGTTAGCAGGTTTCTGAAAGCTTCAGAGGTTTTCTCAGCCCTCATGTGAGGGCCTCCTGGCTGAGCGCTGCCTCCAGGATCTCTGGGGCCTCAATGACTCCCAGAGCCTGGTCCTGAGCACGAGTCTTTGACAGTCTCCCCCACAGTCTCCCAGAGCCCTCCTGCTGGTCTCTGAGGGTCCTGCCATGGACCTGGTCCCACTGGATGAAGAATGCCTCTCCTATGCCTAGATTTCTCACCTGGTCTTCAGTCTCCTGGGTCCCCGACCTGGCAGATGTCTGCTGGCAGTAGCATCACTCTTGGCTGCCCAGCCTCTGAACGTCTGTTGGCTTATTTGGGGGAATTTCTTACTTCTGAGTCTTGATGGGTGTCAAAGTCTGCCTCCCAAGAGAGACACTAAAAATGCCAGCATCTTCCCTTTCATGCCCGCCTCCTTTCCTCTAAAGTA